GCTTCATTCCCTTCTAGAAAATGGTGTAGGATTTGCAACATCTTCCTGGGTACTTTCAATCTTCTACTGATTAGTGCTAAGACCTGACATACATAAAACGTGACGCAAACAATTAGTGTGCTATATTATTTAGGCAATAAAGAGAGAAGCAAAGTTGGAAGGTGTTCTTTGTAAATGCCATCTTCTTCTCTGCAGAACTTTTTTTTTTTCCCAAACTCACATGCAGCACCCATGTCTTCATAGCAGCCACTGTACTTCCGCTTCTCACGTTTCAAGATCCATGGGATACAGAGTCATGATTCTTCCAGGTTCCTCTGGTACCGTCCTTCCTGTCTCCCCTTTGAACATACTCACACTTCTTCCACTTTGAGCTTTCGGTCCTGTGCACAGACTGCTCTTTGACCTCCCTGAATGTCTCATTAGCAATATTCCATCCGGTGGATCCTCCTCCTTCCCTCCCAGGATTTTGATAAGAGAAGCCCACTGTGCTCTGGCCTTCTCTTACTAGTCCTGTAACATTTTCTCTCTTTATTTTACAATGTTAACTTGAAACAAATGCACAGCCACTCACATCAAAAGGTACAACATCTGGGCCCGGCATAATGGCTCAGCAGCTAAATTCTCACCGTGTGTGTGTGTGGGAATCCCATATGGGTGCAGGTTTGGGTCCCAACTGTTTCACTTCTCATCCAGCTCCCTACCTGTGGCCTGCGAAAGCAATAAAGAATGGCCTAAAACCTTGGCACCCTGCACCCATGTGGGAGACTTGGAAGAAGCTCCTGGCTTTGGCTTTGGATTGGCTCAGCTCCAGCTGCTGTGGCTACTTGGGGAGTGAACCAGTGGATGGAAGATCTTTCTCTGTTTTTCCTTCTCTGTAAATCTGCCCTTCCAATAAAAATAATGAATAAATCTTTTTTATTTTAAAAGGCACAACACCTTAAATAAAATGTCAAAGAAGCTATGGGAAGCAAAACACTTCATTTGTCCATATTTCCTAAATACATAAACGCATACATACTCCCCAAATGCTCAAATTCCAAATATAGCTAATTCCTTGATTTTACATCTTTGTCATGTATTCCTAAAAACTGCCCTCTTCACAGGAAGTGACAGACATGGTTCAAAACCACACCAGCCAAAGCTCTCTCAACGCTAACTTGCAGACAATGCAACGACAGGTGGCACCGGAAAAAAAAAGCCCCAAAACAAAAATAAAAAAACACCCCTCATTAAAGAGAATAGTAAGAGATAGCTGTTTTATTTAACAGCTATTCATTTTTATTGAATAAACATTTTCTAGTATGCATTCTGTTAATTGACCTGACAGCATATGCTGTATATGGCGAAACTTCTAAACATTATGCTCTATGTAATATGCTTATCTGAAAAAGCTCTCATTTGCAGCAATATGGAAATAAAATTCTGCTTTCTAAAATTCAAGACTTTTAAAATGCATTAATCCACACAGTTTATGAAATTGCTCTGGACATTTTAAAATCCCTTCCTTAGAGGGAGAAAAAAAACCTTTAGTAATTGGTAATAGTATTTGTTGCTGAGTTTCATAATGGACTGGTGCATATCCAGTACAGAAGTTTTACAGACATAGCAATGGTGCAGGCATAATAGGAAATAAAAAGCAGTTATGGTATTGGGTAAAGAATTACTCAATGGCTAAAAGAAAATGTTCAGAAAGTCTATCAAATTATATGATTAGAAAACTATTGTTATAATAGTTTCATGGCACAGATATAAATAGAGTTGAAACATCACAGAGATAATCCATTTAGTTTGCAAGGGAGAAGACAATTTGGGAGTGCGCTGGGGGGCTCCCCTACCTCACGGCACCCCTCTCCTGGGCTGATAGCCTCTGAGTGATGATGGCTCCAGCTGGCCCAGAATCCCCGACTCCACTACCTGAGGGACACAGTGGAGCGATGTCACTGGGCCGCACCCAGAGGGAACTGGAGGGCAGCCGCTCCGTCTCCAGCAGCCATTCATCTCCTAACAACTGCTGCCCTTGGGGGAGGACCAGCCCAAGGTTATCAGACACTCAGGTTTTTCCAAGAGAAGAGGGAAAACGCAGATTCCTCTCATTTTTCCACATTGTCAACTAATAAAAAAGAGAGAGAGAGAGAGAGAAAGAGAAAGAAAAGGCAACAACTCTGTTTGGACACACTTTAGCCAACCTACCAACCAAAGAGGACGGAAATAACTCGCCTAGGTGAACTGTCACAGCCCTCCGCACAGCTCAGAGCATTTTCTGTAGTTTGTGATCACCTCTGATAATATGGAGCAAATATGGGAAGGGGTGTAGGTACCGATTATAAATTCTGGCACCAGGGAAACACCCCCACCCCAAATTCACATCATCAATGATGGCCCTAGTGCCACGGGGAGGGCCTGTAACATTCAGCAGGACCCAGAGCATAATTAACTCATTTTTATACCAAGACCCTTTAAGCCAGATCTTTGTCTTCCATGGACTTCTAACGTATTTTACAGTTCTAATTCCCTTCCACTGTCCTACATTCATCAAAGCTGTAACCCCTGTTGTCTTTGTACTATGGAATCAGAATGTGCCCCTGGCGAGGAATGGGGGAAAAGTCAACAGGAATTAAATTTCAGTGCAACTGTTTACTCAACTGTGGCCTGCAGTTATTGAAATTTTATCCGTGGTTTTGTGTGACTACTGCAGTAATGAATTCAGCATGGCTGCGATTTTCTCACTGCTGGTATTCTCACTTCAAGTAAAAACCTGTAGAATAAAAATGACGAAAACAACCACGTCCACCCTGCGATGTTCTATTTCTCCAAACAGCTTAATTGCTGCAGTTGCCGGTCTGCAGGAAAACTCGGAGAACTTGAGTCCTGTGCAATGTTTTCAAATCCGGGAGCTTTTCCTATTTCATCCCCTTCCCCAGCAGCCAGTTAGGAGCCTGATAAGACACTTAGGGGAGGCAGAGCGTTGTCAATATTTTGTTTTAAAAGGCCCAAAGAGGCTTGCTATCCACAACGACTGCCGTTGTAGCGTCCACGGACAAAGCCAGCTGTTTTCTTTTATCGGAACCTTATCAATGGCAAATACAAATAAACCTGACATCAAATATTAAAGAAGAGTTATGAAATATGGTTGAAATCAGTTTCTTGACCTTTATATCAATAACCCATAACAATAAATTTTCCAAAGTGGTCACAGCCAAGGTAAAGAGGGAAGATGTGGATAACGAATCTTGTCCCTGATACTGTTTAAGGAAGCTGCTGCTGAAATGGGCCTTTTGTAACTTTCTCCCCTGCAGCTAATTTGTGACTGCTATTCTTGCTGTGTGTTATGTTCCTCTGATGACACAGCGTGCATGGGAAAATTTTGAGCTGACTTACTGCTCTGCAATTCGGAGTGAATGTTGGTTCTCCAAGTAAAATCCTAAAGTTTGTTTCAATTAACATACTCCTGATACTAATAATTCACATTCATGCCACATCAGTCCCCGATCTCCACTGCACCACAAACAAGTAGTTGATCTTGACCTCTCCCGGCAAAGCCAGACCACTGCACTCTAAAACACCATGTGTTCTCCACGTAACCATTAGTAGTTGAGAGTGCCACCTATGTCAACACAAATACGGGCTGTCCTGTTTACAGCTAGATTTGGTTAAACACCTCATTTGGTAGCATTCGGTCTCTTGCACGAATTTGCACGCATAACATCTAAACGCACACACATGCCAAACAAACGCATAAACCTCAGCTGATGCGAGGCTCGCTGTGCTGGCACAAAGGGTGTGGGGAGCCAGTGCAGGTGAGATGCAATCACCTGTAGGAACTTCTTGGAATTCAAACCTGAGCTGGTTCTGTTTTCAGTTCTTTCTTTACTCAACAAACTCTACAGATCTCATGTTCTACCTCTTTGTAACGGGTTAATAGTCCAACGATTCCTGATATTTATAAAAATGTTTAGCCTGAAGAACATTACAGACGCTTCACGGTCTTCCAAAAGCTACATCCCTAACATAAGAAGGGAATCCCCAGACTTCCAGGAGATACAGATGCCAAGGAAGAGGTTTGACAAATGATTGGTCTCTCTCTTCCACCATTACTACTAATTTCTGAGCCTTTCAAAAAGATCCCCTATTCCCAGCCACCTGCTTCCACAATGGCATCTTAGCTGTGTGCTGAAGGAAGATGGTCTACTGGAGTGGGTACCATTCATGAGCATTAACAGAAATTCTTATTTCCTGATTCCCAGTCTTAGGAAACAGAGCCAGTCCTGAAACAAACATTATTTACTTATTTGAATTTTCCTGAATCCCTGCCAACACAACACTATTTCCTGGGGTCACCTTTATTTATCATTAAGAAATATTTCACCAGTCACTCACAGGTATCCACCGACCTACCTATAAAAAGTATGTTCTGACTTACCTGCATTTCTGAGAGGTCTCATTAAGACATGATTTAGAACATGAACACCAACTGCCACACGAATACCAGAAACACGTAAAACACTCCATCGCGAAGTCCCTATGGCAGTGAGAAGCACTTTCCTATTCTGACACCTGCTTTCAGCATTCCACTTCGTTTCTGTTCGGTTCTACTCTCCTTATTCACTTACCCTTTTCTCTTTCGTGCCTCTTACTTCCTATTCTGTTTTCTTTCTTATAAGGCGCCTGCCCATTTTTGTTTGATTTCTTTTGTCTTAATTATAAAGAGCTGCAAACTACACTCCACAGAGCAGTTTTATGTACAACAGTTAAGGTTAGGTGATACGTTTAAGGAGGCATCGGACAGAGACCCAGTCCAGCTCAGTCTCCAAAACCTCGCCCCACAAGGGACTTCCAACACCTCCAGCTGGAAATCCATCCTTTTTACAAGCCACCAGGACACCCAGAGGATGACTGGCTTAGCTGACGCCACTGACAGTGAACAGGCAGACAGGTGCATGGCTGAGTGTGATGCTCAAACCCACCTCCCTCCCGCCAGCCTGGACTCCGAGGTCAAGTACCTGTTGTTGCTGCTGCTGCTGCTGCTGCTGCACGTGGGCGAGGTCAGCCGAGCCGATGTCCACAGCGGGCGTCTCCCCGTTGGATCGGCCCTCCCGGAGACTACTGCACTCTAGCAAGTGGTTGCCGCTACTTGACCCATTCTGGATGGCTGAACCGTTGCTTTTTGTCTCAGTCCCAGATTCTTGCATCATGACTCAAAAACCTGAGAGAAACATTTTCAGACAGGGGGGGAAAAAGGCAGCTGTTAAAACAGTTGTTGTCCATAGGGAGGAGTATGCTGGCCTTAAATGTTGCCAAAACCTGTAAGCAGTTGTCTCCGCCCCCCACTCGGTTTTTCCCTCCTTTCCGGGTTGGTCTCCTCGGTTTAGGAGTCCTAACATAAGTTCTAATAGCATTGTTTGAAACAGGTCACCGTTTCTCTGCAGGAGGAAAATGAATGCTTTCGGGGGAACCTAGAATTTAGGATTCAATTTCTCTGGTTAAGTCTGGTGGATTTGCTCAAACAACACAAAACAAAACAAAACAAAAAAACCAGGTCATCCTATAGCATTGAATTTTAATTTCTGGAGGCACTGCGTGGTGTTTACACTCTTGTCTAGTCCTCTTCCACCACAATGGGCAAGCATTCGGCCTGGTGTGTAACAGACCCTGGTCCGCAGCACAGTGATCCTTGGGTCCTGCTTCCTGCAGCACACAGTGGCACCGAGTGAATGAGCCAGGGTCCGGCCACCCTCACGGGAGGCCCAGACCGAATTCCTGGCTCCCAGCTTTGGCCTGGCCCAGTATAGACCATTGTGGCCATTTGGGATATCAACCAGAAGGACAGAGCACCAGTTCTTTCTATCTCAGGTTGACCATCTGAATTGATAAAAAAAAAGTTTTATTTATATACATATGTGTGTGCCTACATGTGTAAACTATTCCTGAAGCTCCGTGTGTCAGGAGATGATACACACACATCACAAGGAAGCTCACCAAAGTAATTTGTGCTGAGAAACCTCATGGTCAACACCAAGGCCCTGGAGACATTCTGACTCCTTGCAAGCGCTGGAGCCCAAGCACTTCAAAGTTGGCCATTCCAACAAGACCGGCCCCTCTGAGAGAGGGGGCAGGGAAGCCTGCACTTCTCCAAAGTTAAATACATTCAGACTCTAATCTTTGTCTTAGGGTTTAATTTGTCTTGAGAAATCCCATTCAAAGGTAGCTCTTTCTCCAGCTAAGATTGCTGATCTTCAGTTTGGCATAAGTCCTGAAGGGTCTGGCCCTTTAGTATATTAAATTTAAAACTGGAAAAAAAAATATTGCCTAGACAGACCTAACTAAAGGTCTGAATTTCAAAGCACTGAATACCTCGTGGAGAAAACAATATACAAGAGTAGCTAGAGAATATCTATGTTGAATACATTTCACTGTTACTTCAAGGACACAGAATTGTTCACCCCCGGGGAGTAAGTTTAGCTCCTGGCTTGGTAAAGGCTTCCAAATGTGACAAAAGACAGATAATTTGCTACTGTCAAGTGTTGTCACCTATCAGCTGCCAAGGAAGGGGGGATTCTGCATCTGCATACCCAACCCCCCCATCTGACGACAACAGCTACCCCAGCTTGCAGATGAGAAGAGAAAGGCTCCAAGAGCATACTTCATCTCTTGTTCGTCTTGGTTCACTCTAAACCACAGTTTGGGATGGTGGACTCAGGATTTAGACAAATTCCCCTTGGAGTCAGAGCTCCCAAGCACAAGATGCTTTCTTAAAGCTGAGGTGAAGTGGAAGGAAGCAAAACCAAGCAAATGACAGGATCATACTCCAAGCGCCCATCTAGGACTTGGAAAGTTAGAATAACCAGCTGTCCACAAAGGAAGCTTGCAGCTCAGGCACCAAACAGGAGAAATGCCTGAATTATGAAGACATGAATGTGAAAACACCAATTCACAATAAGAAAGGACACAAAACTTTGAACACAAATTTGTTCCAATCATGGAAGAACCTGTGAAGGTATGTCAGAAAGATCCTACAGAAGAGGACTTTAAAAGGAATCGTATTTCTGGTGCAAACAAATGTGCAGATTTTTAAGATAAAGGCACATTTTCCATGAGCTTTTTAAAGACCCCCTTACACACATGGTATGTACACCCCCTTACACACATAGTATATACACCCCCTTTCACACATGGTATATACACCCCCTTATACACATAGGGCAGAGTCACATATGCGACAATAGGGCAATTCAAACACTCTGGAAATATTTAGACCAAGTTGTCCTTTCACTAAAAATTGATCTGTTTCTGGTTTTTGCAGACTTGTGCAAAACCTGACTGTAGACTCCACCGACCCAGAAGACATCTATTTTTTTTTAACTTAATCCAATTCCGAAGTGGATTAGACATGGAATCTTTGTTAACAGGTGGGAGACAGACACTGAAACAGCAGCTGATGGGCACTCATCTCTGTGGATCAGACTTTGCAGAAATCACAATCCTTTAAACATGGCATCTCCTCGCAGTCTTGATAGCAAAGAATCCACCAAAACAACAACTTCCCTAACGGGACGACCCACGTGTAGAATGGCCTTCGGTCTAGCAATGTGCTGGTGAAGATGTGTGTATCTCACGTTGGAGTGCCTGGGGTGGGGTTCTGGCTCCAGCATCCTATTCTAGCTTCCTGACAATGCAGAGCCTGGGAGACAGTGCGAACCCTGCTATCCGTGACGGAGGCCTGTATTGAGTTCCTGGGGCTGACTGCTGTGGGCATGTGCCGCACAGGAGCTTTTCTGTCTGTCTGTCTGCCTCAATCCTTCTATTCTTGAGTGCATTAATAATTAATACAAAAGAGACTTCATGGCAGCATGACTACTGGACTCATTTCTAAAAATGAATTCATTTGTAAAAATCATCTATCTCGCTCTTCCCTGCCCCCAGGTTTTAGCTTCTCCTCAGTCCTGCCCATTTTCATGCCAGCTATCGAAAAGGCAGCATTTAGACATCTGAGAGAATGATTGTCTTCCAGAAGTTGGCAAAGAAACCCATTTAATGCCTAGGGTATGTCAGTAGTGTATTTACAGAAAAAAAAATAATTTTTTATTTGGATTCCCCAAAGACAAAAACAGTGCCTGTGCATCAACTCTGTGCCTGTCTCAGGATGGCAGATAGTTAGCCAGCTAGGGAACAGAGCCGCAGGTAGAAGGCTGCTTCCAAACCATGTGACCATCCAGATCCCAGGCCTGGGAACAGGTGTCTAAGAGGCTGGCTGGGCTTTCATTTCCTTCGTTTGACACCATCCTGGTGGGTGGAGTCACACAATTTGATGAGAAGGCCCTGTTTTTGCTCCGTGCAGTTCCAACGCACAGTGCCAAGTCCTCCAGTACAAGTTTTTTAGGCACCGAGCCAAGCTTGGCTTGTGAATCAGGTTTGTGAAGAGTGCAGGCTTTGGGACCAAAATTGCATAAAGGATTATTTTTGGTCTAAGGATGTCCTTAATTAGTCAAGTGCTAGCAGTAGTATGTAGGTTGGAAGATTTAAAAATTCTCATAATCTCCCAAACCAATCAGAAGAAAACTGCTTTGTGAAAAACACGTGTGAAAAATTCAGAGTGTCAGTGGCTAAGCAGGTTTCTAACAGTGGCCAGGCCAGCACTATGCCTACTCAACACCCCACGCAGCTCAACAAGCCCTTCTAGCCCTATCATGTGTCACACAGGGCAAAGCCCTTTGATGTACTTTCCAAACTCACAAGCCTAGGAGGAAGATAAGCCAGGGAAAGGTTATTCCCATTTTACAGATAAGAAAACTACGGCTCCTCGGATGAAAGGAAAGCTGGAGCCATAACTGTGCCCCCTTTTCGGATGGAAGCTGGTTCCTTTGAGGGATGATGTTGAGTTTGCAGTGTCCTACACTAGGTGGTCAAGGTGTCAATCAGAGCAGAGAAAGTGGAGTCAATTCCACAGACAACGGTGCAAGGTCCATAGAGAACACTGCAATACCAGAGCAGGGTGGGGGAGGACATTTGACAAGCACTCGACTCCTTTTTCCCTAGAATTTTATATGACTGGAGTCATCGGAGAGCTAGTCGCGCGATGGAAGAGGCACCTGTCTCCCCTCCCACACAGCACAGTACCTTCTTTGCTAGAAAGAAGCTGGTTGCAGTTACGCACTTTACAAAACACCCCCTTCCCTGGGGGACCCGCTATAACCAACAGAGCTGCCTGACTCCATGACAGATCAAATAAGCAACACTGCAGAATCACCTGACCTACCTGGAAACCAAGGCATGGCACCCAGGGGGCAGGGTCACACCTTACCCACACCCACGGCCAAACCTGTTTCTGCCTTCAGCCAATGAGCAAGGCCTGTTAGAGACATGTGATCCACCCAGTACAAGCCGACAGAGGCCAATGCGCCACCATTGCACACGTGTCAAAGAAGTCAACATGGCCTCCATGTCAGGCTTGGCAACGCCCAGAGCTCCCGGTCGCACACATCAATTCTCCTGCTGCAGAGACTTGTAGAAAAGGGTAAAAGCTGCATTCAGCGGGCTTATTTGCTGTCACTGCCAACAGGGCTGTTCTCTGGAAGTATTCTGGAAAATTCATAATGTCCAGGCCAACGTATTTATAGTAAATTAAAGCAGTGCTTTATTATTATGATTATTTCCTTGGTTACAGTGTTGATGCTGAAAATTTAGGGAAAATAAAGCCTTTGTTATCATGCTTGTGAAAGGTTTTAAGCTAACAAAAAGTTCAGTCTTGATTCCAGGGCAGTTAATTAAGGTTGACCAAGTCAGGCAGAAGTAAATTAACTTGGCTGATCAATTATTTATATGAAGCAGAATAAATGCCCTTAAAGAACTTGGGCTGTTCATGAAAGGATGTATAAATTAAACTAAACATAGTTTTGTAAAATATGTTTCTACTTCCACAGGGAGAAGAAGCTCACGGTGCGATCACCTTTTAGGAAAAGGAAGAGAAGGATTGCCCAGTCTGCCCCCATCCAAACAAACAAACAAAAAAATTCTCTTCCTCATTGTTTATCCATATACAAGGGCAGAAGAAAAATGGGAGGCAGTTTTGAAGAGGTAACAGAAACTCGTAAGAGAAAAAGAGAAAGGAGTGAAAGATGGGATAGAAGAAGGGAGGGAAGAGGAGGAGGAGGGGAGGGAAAGAAGAAGGGAGAGGGAGGGTAGGGGAGGCGAAGAGAGGCAGTGTAA